GGACAGCGACCTGCGTCCACCTAGGCACCAGAAGCGGCAGCGCGCAGCTCCGACCTGCCCGCGCCACCACCTCCGCCGCACGCAAACACGCACGCAATGTATGGGTAGAGGGCGGCGACGCCACGTCAAGTACTGGCACATGCAAGGATGGGGGGAAGAGGCGGGGAGAAGCGGCGCTCTATCATGACGCCACCACGCTAGGCTGGGCCACAGGGGCCGCCTCCTCTTTTTACGCTTTCGGATAATGAAAGGTGAACCATACCCTTTGCGCCACTTGGTGGCGCCATCTCCCCTGTCAGCCGCGATGGTTTCTGCAAAGATGCCATGGAATTGAAGGTATTTATTTGGGCTACTAAGTTTTCAGCAAGGCCTCAGAGGGCCACTAGAAGGATTCTTGGGAGCGAAGATCAAAGGCCATACGACTCGTCCTATAACCATTCCCAGGAAAAGTCCCAGGTCTAAGATGGCCACTTACTGTTGCTGCCCCAGTGGGATGAGGAGGGCAGAACAGATGCAGAGCAATCTGGTCTCTGCATCATCCTTTGTAGCCTTCAACACTGTCTCCTGGGCCTTCCCTGTTTATACGACTTTCAGGCTGCAATGCCGCTGTTAGGAGTTCATTGGGAGAAAGCTGGTGGGTCAGAGGGTGAAGTGCCAGAGGTGGAGGGAAAAGACTGGCCAGATTGATGCTCCTGTTCCAGAATCCCTTTAGGCATTAGCTGCTAAGTTCCAGGAGCCATCCAGGGCATACCTGGGCTGCTCACACACTTCCTGCAACCTACTATGTGCAGTATCTGTGCTAAGACCCTGGACAGCAAAGGTACATGTGACATATTTTATATTTTGCAAGGCTTAGTTAAATTGAAGAGGCCAAGCCTGTTTGTAAGCTAATGTCAGCTGAGGTAGCTTGTCCTTGGAGTTAAATGACATTGGCTCCAATTCTCATGTCCTGTGGAAAGTCCAATGCCCTCCCTAGGATTTCTGTGAATTACCGGGGAGGCTTAGATTTTCACTTTCACCTCTGACTCTACTTTTCTGCTTCATCTGGAATTTTATTCACTATTCTGGTCTTCTGACTGTTTCTGCAGCTCCTGCTCTAAACTTGGCCCCTTCTCCATTCAACCCCCACATCTATTCCAGAGCAACCAAACATGAGGCAGTAACATGTAGCAGAACTTTTAATGAAGCTTTGTGGATCACAGGGGAGAGGTTACGTCACACAGCAAACAATTTAAAATCACATTTTTGGAATGTTCCAAAAAGTTATTTTGGCTGTCTCACCACTCTGGGATTTCTCAATGGCCACACCAGCCCACAAAACTCCCTAATCCATTGCCCATCTAGCTTCCTCCAGTTCCTTTCTTCCCTTCCCATCCTTCCTTCCCTACCTCACCCTCCCCTCCTAGTGGGCTTTGAGAAACAAGATTATTATCTACTGTGCAGAGCAAGTCAAGTCTTTCCCAGTGGCTTTTCCCTAAATTCCACTCTAAGCCGACCATTTTATAACCAGGAACCCACCAGCTTTGACTCAGTCTTGTCAAGAAAGAAGTTGTAGCTTGTACTGATATTTTACCCCAACTGACTTATGTGTGAAGTTTGGGAGGGTATGAGATAGTCACTTCTGGGACCCCAGATGTCTTTGTCAAAAAAAACCTGTGTCCTAACTACTTAGGCTCTGTGAAGCATTTTGTTTGAAGAGGGCCTGGAAGGGCACAAATTCTGTTGACTCTTGTTTTGAACTATTAGGATCTCTCCTCTGACTACTTTTTCGAGTAGACTTTCCTGTTAGGGGCATTCCCATGGCACAAGGGACTGCGAGATAGAGAGCAGAATACCAGATTCATTCATAGAGAGGGGCCCAGCTGGGGCCCAGAAACACACCTGGGCCTCTGATTTCTTCCTTGTGGGTCCACTGGAACTGTGATCAGAGCCCACAGATCATACCTACTTCCTCTATACTAGTGACAGAGCCTAGTTGGAATGGAGGAAAAAAGTCCAAGTCCCTTGAACAGAAAAACAAGTGAGATAATAAGTGTTACTATTATTTTTAGAAAACAGATGTGTCTATTTGCCTTTTGGATTTGAATTTTTAAATTCTTATTGTCTGTCAGTCCCCAATTTTCTGTGCATTTTAGTACCCAGGTGGTGAATATTCTTTCCTGTGTTTCTCCAGAATCAGAAAATGAAGGGTTGCCCTCAGGCCAGGCCTACAGTGCTCCTGTCACTGAGTAAGACTATAACAGAGGCAGATTGGAAGTAGATAGAATCTTATTTAGTGCTGTGGGCCAAGAAGATCAGCTGGCCAGACTTCACTTACCTGAGTGCCAGCCAGACTGGAGAGAGATGAACTGGCCCAAGGGAGCTGGGGACGCTCAGACTAAAGCAGGAAGGGCAGTACTTTCTCTCTTGGTGGAGAGGAAGGAGGCTTCTGTGATTCACTTTAGACCAGTGCCAGGCATTCCTGGAAACTTGCCACTGCAGAAGACACGGGTGGCTGCCATCCCCCACTGCAAATGGACTAGAGATCAAAGGGTTCACCCAGCCAGGGAGCGTGGCAACATAACATCCATGGGAAGCATTGCATGCCCATCTTGCCCAACCTGAAGATGGCTTCACGTTGCCCAACTAAGGAGACGGCTCTCTGCTCATGGATACATAAAATGATTTTTTTTAGCTATCCGCCCCCCCTGACAGTGTCTCTACTAGTAAGCTCACCTCTCTGGAAGAGCACAGTTCATGTACAAATGAGACAACTATTCCACGACCCAGTGTTTGAGAAGAGTAGGAAATAGAGACCAGGAATGCCCGCTGTGTGTGACAATGATATGTTCTCAAGGGGTCTGAAGACCAGAGGGAATCCTGCTGTAGAAAGAAATGGCCTGGGGATAGATATGATTGAGAGACACTCTCACCAGAAATGTTGTAGACCTGAGATTTCACTTGTGGACTTGATCTGGTTGATTTAATCTACTCTTCATCCACTCAAATATCTGTCCTAAACACCCATTCATTTATTCTTATGAAACACAGTCACATGCTATATGACAATGGTTCAGTCATCAGCAGATTAGTTATGTCCCATAATGGAAGTAAAATAGCTCAAATTGAATAGTGTGATATATGACTTGCACGTTTATGGGGGTGCTGATATAAACACATCTGTGTTACAAGGGGCTAGTGTGTCCAGCACAGGAAGGTGGTACACAGGTTTGTAGCCTCGAGGCAGTGGGCCATACCATGTAGTGTAGGTGTGTAGTAAATTGTACCCACTTGTGTTTACACAATGATGAACCACTCAGGGATGCAGTTCTCAGAATGTATTGCTTCCATGAAGTGATACATGGACTGTCCTGAATGCTGAAGTCACTGTCAGAGGTTGCATAAAACAGGTAAGATGAAGCACTGATCTTTATCTTGGGGACAGTTGATGGAGATTAGGGGTCCTGTGGGGCTGAGAGGATGGCTAGGAAAAACTTCATAGAGGGAGGTGAGTCAGACCCCAGGCTGAGGCAATAACCTTAAAAAAGGTAAGGGAACGAAACAGCTTAGTGCATCACCAGAGCCGTTAGTACTTCAGTGTGGGGAGCAGTGGGGAGCAGCACGCAGTGTGAAGGCCAGAGCCAGGCCCCGTGGCCCTTTGCGCACTTTGGTTAGTGGCAGTGGTGACCACTGTGCTGGGAAGCACAGGAGGAGCACAAGGTCTTCAGGGAGGGGCTGTTGAGAAGCGAGGTCAGCTTGAGTCCTGTGGGTTAGATGTGTCTGCACAGTACCGTCTCTCAGTCTCAGGGGAGACTAGTTTGTGCCTTTGACACTGTCTGCTCCCTGCCAAACTGACACTTGGCTATAGGAAAGCTGTGCTTGCCCTGGAGGCCATTCACCTCTTACCAGCAAAAAAACTGCAGTGATCATGGTTGACAAGAAGTGTAATGGGAATAGATGACCAAAAGAGTGGCTCTTCCTCCGTCTCTGCACAATGGACAAGCCCTCTCTGAAGAAGTGCAGACTTCTTCTTGTGACCACAAAGGGCTGTGTCATGCAGCTGTGGGAGGCACTACTGACATGGTAAATTGTACGAAGAATGTCTCCGGAGCTCCAAGTGGATAATCTGCCAGCTGCCTCTGGGGGACCTTTCCCCCTGACACCCTAGTCCCAGCCTCTAGTCTTCCCTTTCTGCAGTTCCAGCAGGAAGGCACTTACCATATTTATCATTTTCTATTTATTATTCTTTTGAACATTATAGCAAAGAAAACCCCAGGAAGAGAAAAAAATTCTCTTTTCCTCTCTCTGAGTTTGCTTATGGTTCTTACTGATTTCAGAAGCACATTTTTACATTTCTTTGATCAGTGCACACCTGTCATTTTGTTTTTCTTTGTTCAAATTGCAGTATTTCAAAAACACATTACCACATGCAGAGCTAGTTTATATACTTCTCACTGTCTGTGTCACCCAAGTGTTCCATCCATTCCTTTGGTAAGTTTACGTAGCAGTTTTCCGTTTGTTGGGCATTTGAGTTGTTTCCAACTCGGTGCAATAGAATTGAGTATGTGTGTTTGAGAGTGGGGGTGTGGGTGTGGTTGACTTTCAAGCAAAACAGGCAAAGTTGGGTCACAGCAGAAGGCCACGCCAGAGAAACGGAGAAGGAATAGGAGTAGCAGGGTCAGTTGTCCTGACTGTAAACAATGACTGGGTAAAATAGCTTCCACTCATAGGATATTTGAGGTATTATACGGGGGAACTCAAGAACCTACAATAACTAGATCGGGGGGGGGGGGCACTGGGTGTGGAGGAACCAGTGGATCAGGTGGATGGAGATGTGGGCTCAAATCTTAACTCTGCTACTAATTTGGCTACTGGGATTCTGTACCTTTTTGGACCTCTGTCTCCTCATGTTGCACAAAATGATAGCTCTTTACTGGGGCCTGTGATGACTGAATCCATTCAGATAATAAACATCAAAGAGCTTTGAGGAAGTTGCAAAGATTGTACATATGAGTATATAAGTTACTAAAATGTGAGTTCCCACCTAAAAATCTGGATGGTAAAGGACTTACTGTTCAGAATTTAGAGTTCTCTCTGTGCCCAGCCTTCCAGAATGACAGGAATAATTAGAAATCAGCTTGCTGCCAGAAAGGATGGTCTTTGCTGGAATTGAGTACTTGTTTGTACTTGGATCATGATTTCTTGAGAAAGAAGGCTGTAACTTCCCCACCCATGGCAACTGCCACTGCCTTGATCCAACCTGGCCCTAGGATCTGGCTGCTGTGTACTTTTCTGGAAACTTCCTCAAATGCTTTCTACTGGGTTGGACCAGAGATCCTGATATATCTTTCTTCAATTCCCAAAGCTGCAGGCTATTAATGTTAAGGCTGGTAAGACACAGTAATTGTAAACAACATTGAAAGAATCTGTTCTGATGACTCCTTGTACTTCTTTGTGTATTCTGTCCTATACCTATGTGTATGTGTGTGTGTGTGTTCATGCATGTGTGTGTAAGTGTTAGTTTACCATAAGAGCAGGAATTATGAAACTGCCTTGGACTTCAGCCTCTGGCTGCTCAGTTATTTTATTGAGCCTTGGCTGTGTGTCAGGAGTTGTGCTAGGTACCAGGGATCCAGCAGGAAACAAGATAGCTACAGTTCCTGTCCTCATGGGTCTTGGTGTCAAGAGCAGAATATTATCAGAAAATCTGCATCCCTCAATACCTTCTCAGAGATGACAGCTCCTCCTACTACATGCCACGTGCTGAGAGGTCCTTCTCCTGAGCACACTGCATATTTACTTTCCTTATTCCTGAGGCTCTGTCAGACTCCAGGGTGAAGCGAAGGCAGCTGTCTATGCTAGAGCTGAGGCCCTCAGGATAGACAGAACATGGCAGGCAGAAGCAGCAATTTCCCAAACCCCAGTCAGTCAGATTTTTCTCCCTTTACCCCAACATTCCCTCCTTGTGGCTGGTGTATTGGAGTCACAGGAGAGACAGTGGTCAACTGCTGATGGTGTGGAGGCTGCTGCTGGGTGGGAGCCTGCCTTCCTCACCCTCTCTGGTGTACAGGGCGGGACTCATTGCATCACCCTTGGAGCCTCTACCCTTGGCTTTGCAGCCAGCTGGGCCCCTAGAGGAGGAACTCTCCCTGTTTTTCAACAAACCATTAACCATTTCACCATCCCAACCCTCTATGCAGCCAACATGATTCCCAAGGCTCACCCTTGTTCCTGTCTGCCTTAATCTTGGAAATGTCCATTATACTCAAGGGCTCAGCCTGGGTAGCCTCTTAATAGCTGAAGTCTCCACCATCCCCAGTGTGAGCCTGGTGCATCCCCGGGAAAAGAGTTAAACTCCCTCATCCCCACCCTCAGCATTTGTCCCATTCTGCAGCAGTGAGGACAGAGCTCTCCAGCCTCCAGCATGAGCTCATGCCACCTCTACACTCCAAACAGAGTCCCAACAAAGGGTCAACAGACATTTAGGCTCAGAACTGGAGTGCAGCTTGAGCAGAGACCAGGAGTTTAGACATTGGCCTGTCCCCAGAGTCCCTCCAACCATTTCCAGCAGACCTGTTTGGGCCTTGTCCTCTTTATAGGAATGCAGGAGAGGAATGGGTGCAGTGAAGGCCCTAAAGGCCCAAGGGGCTTAGGAGAATTGCAAGAACACAGTGTTTTCCTGTTCCTAAAGGGGCTGGACAAGGAGGCATCAGGGGGTGTCGGCATAGAGTCTATTCCAGTCAGTGAAGCCCAGGCCACATTCCTACTCAGGACTTTTATCTTCCAGCCATAGCGTTTACCCCACCCATTCTAGGGCCTGAAATAGCCTGGGACTGCATCCAAGCCTAGGCCCCAGTCCCAAGTTTAGTCCCACAAACATTTGGCTGCATCGTAACTCTTTAAATCCTGAGCTAGGTCCTATGGGGATACATTAATGAAGAATGCCTTCAGGGAGCTTGTAAAATGTACCCAAATGACTGCTATAGGCATAAGATGCCTGTGGAAAAAGACAGAAAGATGGCTTCCCATGAAATGAATGGGCAACCTGGTGAGAGTCATTTTGTTTAGTCTTAAAGGATAATGTCTTGGTTACTTTTCTCTCATTGCTGGGACAAAACACTGACACCAAAAATGAAGGAAAGAAAGATTTATTTAGCTCCCTGTTTGTGGAGGTTTCAGTCCATAATCAGCTGGCTCCAAGGCAAGGTGGCATGGCACTGGGACAATACTTCAAGGCAGCAGCGAGAGCAAAAGGAGGGAGAGTAAGCCTCTTTTCTTCCCTTCTATGGTATACAGGCCACTCCTCCCCTCCAGGGCAGGTGTAGCATTCACAAAATCTCTGTGCCTTTCTCTTGCACAGGATAAGGACATCTACAAAGTAAGGATCCTGGCTCCCTGCTGAGTCTCTCAGTAAAACTTCTAAACTTCTCAGGTTGACACAATGTATCAACCATAAAAGATGAGTAGGATTCCACAGGCAAAAATGAGATACACTCATTCTAGAAGGATTAACAAGAGCAAAATCACAGAGGCATGAAGTTTAGGCTATCTTCTTGAACATGCCCAGCAATTTGATTTGGCTGGAGGATATGAGAGAATATGGACTGTTTACAGTTTCCATGGATGAGTGAGTTTGTCTAGATTTCCTGAATATCAAAGACTGTCAAGTGACAAAAAGACTCATTGGTTAAGAGTTTACAGATCAGTAAGTGGAGGCATAGAAACTCATTCATAGATATAAAGCAGTCATGATACAGCAAGGACCAGACTCAGGTTACACCACCCTTGCTGTCTTGGCCTCATTCAGGTCCCTTAATCCTGAGGCTTAACTCATGGCGCTGCCTGACCAACAGACCTTCTACTTTGTTGGTGTGCCAAGAAGACATTTGGCTTCAGAGGTGAGCAGCCAGTGGTCACAGATGAGCACAGAGATCCTGCCATGTGACTTCCCCATGGTTTTGTTTACAAACAAGGAGTGAACAGCTCTATGACACTTGACAGGACAGAAACATCCATTTTCTTTATTTTTCCAAATTTATTTAAATCTGGTCCCAAAGCTCATTTTCAGATGGTAAGAAGTCTAATATCATTACTAGGGCTTCTTCCTTGGCTAATTGGTTTTACCAAAAATAAAACAAAATTAAAAAGCTCCAGCCAAGTATACAAAGTCTTGGTCTGATAGGAATAGAGTGCTTGGTCCTGAATTAGGGAGCTGCTCTCTGGGCTACCTGTGGAATGCAGGTCGTTTGCTGTGTGCATTGCTTCTCCTGGCAGGCTGGTGAGCTGCCTGCTTATCACAATCTCTCAGCGGCTGGGTACTTGGTGGTCTTTCTTTCAGCTCCTCACAGCCATGTATATAGTAGGTTTTTCCAGCTCCAGGAAGGGAGTGCAGTCCAGTTGCATCTCAGCTTATGGATTTGTGGACCCTCTGGGACCCTCCGGCTGGAAGCTGTTGCTCACAGGTAAGCTGATTCCCACCTTCCCACTAGAAATCCACCTCTAAACCTCTTTGACCTTTCAGTCTTGAAAACTTGGCCACTCTCTTGGGAGGATGTGGGGAAAATTCTTCACATTCTTTTCTGAAGAGTCCACAGCCAAGAAAACCAGATATGGCTAGTTTCTCAATCAGGCTATTCTACCGCATTAAATATTTAATCATCCTGTTACACTTCCAAAAGCAAAAGAAAAATTCAGCAGTGAATGAGTAAAAGTTTGGTAAGCCATACAAAAGGCAATGCTGTATAACCAGGCGGAAGGATATTTAATGACATGGAATGATAATTTTGCTAGCTGAAAAAAAAGCAGCTTTTAAAACAGCATCACAGTGCAAGCCAATTTTTTGGTGAATGTGAAATCACATATTTATACAAATAAAAAAGAGAACTGAAGGGTAAATATCAAAATGCCTCTCACATCACTTATTTTCTCATTTTTGCTTATTTTCATTTTCTGAAAATTCTACAATGAATGTGTTATTGTTTGCTAAATAATTTGAAGAAAATTTTACTACAAAATAATCATACTCATTTTTAAAATTCAACAAACAGATATATGTGCAACAAAAATGAAAATCTTCTATGTCATTTCTCACTTTCACACTCCAAGCCTAGAGTAGGGAGTGTTATCTCCACATGGTATGTAGATTTTTTAAAAATGCACGTATGGTACTATCCATATTATACTGAAGCTCTGCTTATAATAATTTCCCAGTAAAATCAAGATAACAAGCGAACTCACTGTATTGTTCTTTTTGTCAGAATTAAATCAGCTGACATAATGTAAAGCTCTTGGAGCACTACCTGTCACATAGAAAGTACTACATTAGTTTTAATTATTTGAATGTATTTATTACTAATTTTCCACTTTATTTCATATCATACCTTTACATTAGGATGATACCCATTTAATTTTTAGGGAAAAATGTAAAAATAATTTTTAAAAGAAATATAACAATACAAATGAATGACTAACTTCTCCTCTGTTCTTCCCACCACTTGGAGCAGAGCTTTCCTCTGTCACGGCTGAACAACCTGGACGTGCCTTTGCCCGAGTGACCATAGGCCGCAGATGGGCAGTTTGTATAGCTGAATGCCATGTTTGCCTACAGCACTGGGTTACCTGCACTGTCTGTACTTTTCTGGAGAAAAAAGAAAGCAGATACTCTGGGCTCTCTATACAGTTGTGACCTGCAAAGAGGTCTTGGCTGAGCAGGTTGGTAAATTTTGCTTTTGGTGTGACTACAAAATAGAACAAAAAGTAACCAAATTGATAGTGCAGCTGTAGGAAAACATAAATATTTGTTGCATCAATCATTGAAAACATGTTATCTGGGAAACAAGTTTTTATAATTGGCAAAAAGAGAGTGAGATTGCAAAAGTCAGTTATCACTGAGAATAATGTAACTCCTATTTATATTTTGGATTCAGGAGCAAAACATGAGATCATATCCAATTTGTAGACCAGCAAACAGTACCAGCCCAAAAGCCAGAAAGTGTCATCTATGGGATTTTTCCATAATCCTTATTAATAATTGAACCCTTTTAAAACAAAGGATTGACATATTAACAGGATATTATACACACACTCCCCCAAAAAGACACAATGAAAAAAGTTAACTACAAACCAGTATCTCTCAGGATAATAAACATAAAAATCTTTTTAAAAAATACTAGAAAATCAAATCCAACAGCATATATAAAAAGGAATAATATTGATTTGATACAATAGTATCTCAGTTCGTGAACTTTGTTCTTTCTATGATTCTGGTCAAAAACCAAATTCAGTGGTTTAGGTAGGTTCAGTGTTGACCATATGGGGAAATCTGATTAGGTTCTTGCCCAATTTGGCTTGTGATCAGAATCATGGAAAGGAAAGTTTGTGAAGTGAGGTACCACTGTATTTGAAAGTCCATCAGTGTGATTCCCATATTTGTCATTTGAACAAACAAACCAACAAACAAAACATGAACCCATAGTGCACAAAATATATTTAACAAAACTTGACATCTATGATAAAAAACAAATAAGAGCAAAATGATTGCAAAGTAAGATATAAGACATCTTATTCACAGATGATATGATTGTTATTAAGTCCAAAAATTCACACATACACACACACACACACACACTCATACTCACCCTAACTACTAAGGAACAAATTTAGCAAGGTTGCAGGTGTGAAGTCAGAACATAAAAGTCAGCCACTTCTAGATGCTAGCAATAAAAGTTGGAAAACAAAATTTGAAAAATTTTATACCATTTAAAATAGCCAAAAATGATGCATTTAGATAAATATCTCACAAAACATTGTTCAGGGTCTGTACAATGAAAATTGTAAACACTGATGAAAGGAGTAAAAAAAAAGTTCTAAACAAAGTGATATACCAGATTAGAGAATTGAAAGACTCACTAGGATATAGATTTCTCTTCCCATTGATAAATAAATTTAGTTCGACTCTAATAAAAACCCTTAGTAGGCCTAGACAAGTGGATTCAGAGTTTATGCAGAAAGGCAAAGAAACTAGACTAGTAAAAACAATTTTGGAAAAGAACAAGTTGAATAAATCATACTATCTAATTTTAAGACTTATTACAAAGATACAATAATTAAAACAGTGTGATATAGACAAAAAGAGAGACACAGCTCAACTGGGAGTCTAGAAATAGGCACACAAATATAATCATTTGATATTTTACAAAGATGCAGAAACAGTCCACTGGGGAAAGGATAGTCTTCAACAAATTTCTCTGGAGCAGTTGGACCTCTATGCAGACAAGTAAACTACCTAAACTGTACTCTTTATACAAAAACTAGTTCAGAATGGTTAAAGATCTGAAGATTAAAACATAGAACTACAAAGAGAGAGTGAGAAAGAGAGGAACATCTTAATAACTGTAATTAGGCAAAGTGTTCTAAGACATAAGAAAAACATCCTCCATAAAAGAAAACTATGAATATATTAGACTTCATCAAAGGGAAAATATTGTTTTACAGTGCACAATGCAATGAAAGACAGGGTTGGAATGTAGATCAGTGGTAGAGTGCTTGCTTAGCATTGACAAAGCCCTGGGATTGATTCTCAACACCACAAATAAAAAAGAAAACACAAGCTATAAACTAAAAGAAAATACTTACAAATCATATATTCAACAAAAGATTTGAGCATATATAAAGAACTCCACAACTTGACAGTAAGAAAGCCAACAATCTAATCAGAAATGATTCAGATTTAAACATTTGACTAAAGATAATATGCAAAGCAAAAAAAAAAAAAGAAGATATTCAATATCAGTAGCATTAGAAAAATACCAGGTAAAAATTCAATGAACTATCATGATTTATTTATCAAAAAGACTAAGATAAAAATCTGACAATATCCAATGCTAATAAGGGCGTGCTCAAAACTCTTACACATTGCTGGTGAAAATGCAAAATTTTACAGCCACTAAAAAAGCTGGACAATTTCTTATAAAATGAAACATAAGGCCAGGTATGGTGGCGCATGCCTATAATCTGGGAGACTGGGGCGGGAGGACCATTGCAAGTTGAAAATCAGCCTAGGCTACAAACTGAGCTCAAGACCAGCCTGAACTTCATAGCAAGACCTTGTCTCAAAAAGACAAAAAGAAACAAACAAAAAAACCCCACATAATTTACCATATGACACAGCAATTGCACTTCTAGATAATTACTCTAGAGAAATGAAAATTTATGTCCACACAAGAAAATGCGGCCGGGGATTTAGCTCAGTGGCATAAGCGCCTGCCCGGCAAGCTCAAGGTCGTGAGTTTAATCCCTGGTACCGCAAAAAAAAAAAAAAAAAAAAAAAAAAAAAAAAAGCACAAGAATATTTATAGCTGCTATAACCATAATTGTCAAGCATTCAGATGTCTTTCAATAAGTAAATGGATGACTGTGGTTCATCCACACAATAGGGGAAGAGGAAAAATTATCAATACATGAAATAACTTTGGTGTATCACAAAAGCATCATGCAGAGTGAAAGAAGCCAGTCTTAAAAGTTATATATTGTCTGATACAGGACATTAACTAGTAAGGGAGACAAAGCAATTATCTAGTAAGGTTGGCAAGCGTCAGAAGTAGAGAGAAGGTGTAATTGCAAAGGGAGAGTTTGGGGAGTCATGGAATGTTCTGTATTCTGATTATAGTTTGGGTTACACAAATACCTACATATGCTATAATATATAAATTTGCACACACTTATACATATCAACTCAACTTAGTGTTACTTTTTTAAAAAAATGGATTAGTTTTTAGACCAGTTTTGGTTCAGAGAAAAACTGGACAGACCATAGGAGACTTTTCATACACACTCTGCTTTCTCATAGGAGCAGTATGTTTGTTCTAATCAACAAATGTACACTAACACATCACCTAAATTCTTTTTAAACTGGCAGTGTACATTCTATGGGTTTTCACCAATGTATATGACATTGTGAATGCCGTGTATCACAGTATCATATGAAATACTTTCACTCTTCTAAAAGTTGTTTGTGCTTTGTCATGACCCTTAGGTCTTTTGTCTTTCTAAATAAACTTTAGAATAAATTGATCAATATATAAAAAAATAATCTATTAGCATTTTAGTTTGGAGTTATGTTGATATATGTCAACTTGGGAGGAATGTATATGTTGATATTTTTAAAATTTTATTTAAAGAAAGACTAAACAAAACAGAAAATAGGTAGAAATAATACATACATTCAGAGAAAAAAATAAACAGTAAGAAATCACTAGTTGATGTTTACATATTGTCGTTTTACAAATAGTTGTTCAAGATACAAAAATAGAACATATAAAGTGGGAATTCAAACAGCGAGACTGCAACCAGTTCTGTTTAACTGTCCAACAAAAATTTAGTAACATGATTGTCAATCCTATACACTTAAACATACATGTAGTTATCCATATCTTCATTTGTGTTTAGATTAAACAAACTAAAGCAGGTTAAAATCATTCTGAACAAAGAATAATAGTATTGCTGGATTTCACGTCATGACACTCCGTGATCAGCACTGGGTATTGTAGTGTCTTTTTTTAAATTTAATTTAAAGAAAGACTGAACAAAACAGAAAATGGGTAGAAATAATACATAATTTCAAAGAAAAATAAACAGTAAGAAATCACTAGTTGATGATTACAGATTGTCTTCTTACAAATAGTTATTCAAGATACTAAAGTGGAGCATATAAAGTGGGGATTCAAACAGTGAGATTGCAACCAGTTCTGTTCAACTATCCAACAAAAACTTAGAAATATGGTTATTAATCCTATACACTTAAACATACATGCAGTATATGTTTATATTATTGAGTATTCCATAACCATGGAATAATCTTTCCATTTACAGTAAAACCTTGGATTGCAACTGACTTGTTTTGCAAGTGCTCTGCAAGATGAACAAACATCTTTAATAAATTTTAACCCGATAGATGAGAAATATTTTGCAATATGGGGTTGTACACGATACTGCCTGTCACATAATCACAACCAAGCCCCTCTACGTCTTTTCTTCCCCCTCCTCAACACACTTTTTCTTTCTCTGAAGGATTGTGGGTGATTGTCTCCCAAGAGCAAGAAGTTACAGAAATATGCTCTGCAGAGAAGAAAAAGGTGAAGGAATCCCTCACTTCAAGCAACTGTAAGGAGAGGTGTGAAATATGGAAAGCAGTGCAAAATTTTGTAGCAAAGCACCACCTGAGTAAGGGTGTAGCAGTCTAATTGATGAATATGTTTAATGACAATTTAGTGTCACATTTCTGAGAATCCTCAAAAGGAGGCAAAAGCAAGTGTCACTGAACAGTTTCCTTGTTAAGCAAAAACAAAAAGATTTCACTGAACCAATAGATAGCCGTGATTCTGTTAGGGGCAGTGAAAGTCTTCCTAGGGAATAACTCTCCTGTCTTGTTTCTCTCACACCAGCCACAAAAGTTTTTAAAGGCTAGTGCAGTTAATTTGTTTATTTTCTTTATATTTTGTATTTTCTTCACTCTTTTGTATTATTTTGCAGTATTGTAATCTTTTTTATGTGAATATTTTTTGGTTGTGGAACAGCCATCTGAATTTCCATGATTTCTTATGGGGAAATTTGCCTTGATGTACAAGTGCTTTGGATTACAAGCATGTTTCTATAATGAATTATGCTTACAAACCAAGTTTTTACTGTCTTTAGATTCTGAACAGTGACCCTCACAGCCCTTCTCCAGTCTCCTCCCGCACACACACCTAACTATCCTTAACAGGATAGTTAGAGCTAGAGTTGGCTATTCCCTTATTCAGGTTGGTTATATTAAGCTCTGGGAAAATAGACTCCCTTGAGGGCAGGCCTTATTAAGAACAAGATGCTGTGGAATTTGTGTTTAAATTGGTTGCTTTTCCCCCAGAAGGCTGAGAAGGTTTTTTTTACACAGTCTCTGTGTGAATTGCATAGAACTCCTGAGCTGAAAGTCCCCAAAACCGCTACCTTCCTGTCGCTACCCCACGTCCAATTTAGACCCTCTGGATTTTACATCTCACAAGTTAGTCTGCACTGAAAAAAAAATGTTTTTAAAAAAATATTGGTATACTAACAAAGAAGAGAAAATGGAATTACAGGAATCACAAGAATCACAGGAAATGGTCAATTAAAGCCACAAAAGGCAGAAAAAGGATGGAAAACAGAAACAAAAAAAATTTTTAAAAATAGTGACAACTGTGGTAGACATTAACCCAACTATATTAATAATCACTTTAAATATCAGTTAAGTACAGATTGCCAGAATGAATCAGAAGCAACCAATTATATACAAGAAACTCATTTTAAGTACAAAGATACATGTAGATTATAAATTATCTCGTACAGGTTCAGTTTTCCTTCCCAGGTTACTGGACAGTTTTCTGCTTTGGTCAGTTGTGATTCTATGTATGTGTTTTTCCAGTCTGGGAGGTGGCACTTTTATCCTGTGATTTCACTTATTTGTTAGATCCAAGCAGAATTGTTGATTTTTCTATTTGCTGAGATTTCTATTTGTTAAGATGAAGTGATATTCCCCAGTTTTTTACATATGAGAAGAGAAGCTAGATGTCAACGTCATGCTTTTTAAGATGTTTTTAAAAATCCTAAAAATGGCTAAGATGGTAAATTTTACATTATGTATATTTCACCACAATAAAGACTTAAAAATGAGAAATTATAAGAGAGTATAAGGTTTTCCAAATATTTACAATCTTTTCCTACTTAGGCCATTGAGGGATGAATCTAGTGTCCTCCACACCGTAGACAAGTTTTCTAAAACTGAGTTACATTTCAGCCTTTTAAATTTTGAAATAGGTTCTTGTTAAATTGTTTAGGTTGGCCTCAAATTTGTGATCCTCTTGCCTCAGCCTCCAGAGTAGCTGGAATTTTAGGTGTCACCTTCGTGCCTGGCTTGTTCAGAACAGTTTTTAATGTACCTTGCTTCCTGTTCTTGAGTTATGGTATGGTTCTTCTTTTCTGTTGGTTACTTATGCTCCAAAACTTGGATCTTTGACCACTTTTTCTATACAGAATTTTCATTTCATATCTACTTCCCATCCACAATTTAGTTGTATATCTATTTTTTCTTCCTCTTTTCTATCTCTTCCCAGATTCATTGACATTTGTCAAGACTTTATAATGACTTCCTAATATCTTCCTAACACTTCTCTGCCTTAAGAGTCAGCTTTGGAGTTAGACCAACCTAAAATAAAATCCTAGCTTTGCTGCTTGTGGCCCTTTGACCTTGAAAATAATGTATTTAACCTCTTTGAACTTCAGACATCATCTGCAAAATTGAGGTAATAATAACATTCAATCTACAGGATGGTTGCAAGAATTGTAAAATGCCATGGGCCAGGTGCTGTAACTTAAATGCATTATATATCACTTTTAATAAGGGAGACAAGTATGTAAACAGGCTTCATATTATTAGGTGCATAGTATCAAGCATTAGTGGCTGCTTTATATGATTAACTTCATTCTTATCTAATATAAGCACTATTGGCAAATTAATTTCCCTAGTGAGCTCTTTTGATTATGTTACCCCTTGCTCAAAATACTTTTTGAGTCTCTCTTGCCCATTGAATTAACTCAAACTCCTTTATCGGGCACCAAAAGCTCTTTTTGGTTATTTCTCTCCTACTTCTCAGACTTTATGTCCTAAACTTTACTATTCACTGTAATCCATATATGTGACTGGCTTTCTTTCCTTTTTAGCTGTATTCAAACTGTTCCTCTCCCTGGAATGCCCTTCCTCCTCCCATTTTGCTCCGTAAATATTTACTGAGTAAATAGATGGTGTCCTTTAGAAAAGCTCTTGCAGAGAAGCCAGTTTGTGTCCATGCCTTACGCCCCTCCTGCAGTGGAGACACACAGAGAAAGTTATGTTTATTTCCAGCAGGACCTTCTTGAGGGAGGCATATATAAACTGAGTTTTTCCTGCTCCACAATTCCTCAACCCTCCTGAATAGAGATGTCGTGCCATATTGAGGCCAAGAGGTGATGTTGCTGGACTCACTCAGATCACCTAGTGGTCCTGTATTAGCTTAATTATCTTCTCAACTGAGGGGATGCTCACTGGGTACCTATGAAGTGCTCTGCAACTTTCTTGGAACTGTGAAGGTCAGCACATACTTAAGACCATCTCTCTGGAGAGAAGATTCATGTGACATTGGTAAACAATGTGTAAGAAGAATCAGGTTCTAAATTTTGTGATGGTGAAGAGTTGAGTAAGATGAGCCTACGCACTGGGAAAGTTATTAAAAAGGCCGCAGGCAGATGAAACTTTACAATAGCCATGTCTGGGGTGTGCCTCCGTGCCCCACATGCTTTGAGAATGTATGGTATGCTAAGATAAACATCTAATATGGGCTGGGAAAAGGCAATCCAATGAAATTCTGTATTCATGTGATACAACACAGCAAGACCAAGAAAGTCCCCTCAAAGACAATTTTCCCTGAAGCCACTGGTAACTTCATGCTGCTGAAAAGATGAGTGTATGGGGAAGTCTTTTCTCCATAGAAACGTCTCCTACACATTCACTTTTTTCAGTTGGTTAAAATACTGAGACATATTTATGGCAATAGGAGAGATCAGTACAGGGAACTGACAAACAGGCTTATGTAGTTTTATAATTTTAATCAGTGTTTTAGCACAGGTTAATTCACTATCTAGGTTCTTGGAAGATCTTTAATCTATGGTTTTTTTTGTTTTTGTTTTTTTTTTTTTTTTTTTTTTTTTTTGTCTTTTTCCTTTTTGTCGGTACCAGGGATCGAACTCACGACTGCCTGCTTGAAAGGCAGGCGCTTATGTCGCTGAGCTAAATCCCCAGCCCCTTTAATCTATGTTTTAATCCCAGAATATCTCAGCTTCTAGGTTATTCAGAAAAAGAGTTAAACTTGAAATAAGCTCTGAAATCAACTGGATTTAGGTTTGAACTCAACAAATTACTAGCTCTATGACCTGGACACTCAGATAATCCTGAAAGATTTAGTTTCCTCATTTTGACAGAGTGATATCACTGATGTTAAATTTTCTTGTAAAGGTTTAAGAAAATGCTGTGTGCTAAGCGCCCAGCAGAGGAGAATTTCAGTACTTGGTGGCTCCTGTCAATTTCATAATTACTGAATATCTCTACCCTACTCCATTACATGCTGAAACCATCTATCTCCTCCAAAGCTACCTAAATTCCAAATGTAACAGTAGTTTATCCACTCTATTCTCCCTATACCTCTTAATAATAATAATAATGATAATAATTGTAAATAGTAACAATACAGTTGCACTCTATGTGTCCATATACTGTGGTGAAAGTTTCCAACTATTATCTACAATCCCATTTGTTTCAAGTTTACAACACAGAGAACTAAAGCTCAGAGAAAAGAAATGACTTGCTCAAAGTAAAGGACACAGCAGCGGTTGGAACTGAGGTGTTCTCTCTCTGAAGCACATGCTCTTTCTACTTAATCACATTTTCTTTTCTTAGAAGAGGAGTTGGTCTCTCTTTTTTGAACACAAAGACCAGATATATTAGTTATCCCTTAAAAATTTTCAGACCTCTTGACATGGTCTTCCTCCTCTTCCTCCTCCTTCTCTTCCTTCATTTTTTCCTTCTGTTTTTTTTTCTTTTGTTACCTGGGATCAAACTCATGACCTCATGCTTGCAGGCGCTGTGCCACTGAGCTATATTCCCAGTCCCAGCATGGTCTTCTTTAGTAATTGCACTTGATTAATTCTTTCATTTTGATAATTTTTACTAGATGTCATGCTAGTGATTTAAAAATGATTGAGTCTATATCTTCAAAGAATTCACATGTTCATGAAGAAGTCATATGCACACGAATAAGGGAGAAGTCTGAACCAGGGGACCCGAGAACTCAGGTGAGGTTGGAGGAAGAAATGACGGTGTGAGAAAAGGCTTTCAAGGAAGGTGTATGCATAAAGTGCATTATCTTGTACTTTATGTCATTAATTCCAGATATTTGTTCTAAGAAACTACTATTTCAAGTTCTAGGCCAAGTCTTGGGGTCGAACTTAGTTGTGGACTCCTCCAGATCATGCCCCTGAGGAGGGACGGCTTGTAATCATTAAAATTTTTTCAAAGTTATGTTAGAAAAAAGTAAAAACTACATTGGTGGTGGAGTGGGTAGTTGGTTGGATATACAACCATTAAGGAAATGATTAATTCTGTAAAGCAAAGGGGTTTTCTTTGAAGCCCAATTTCTTCTAAATATATACATTTTGTTTTCTTATTCATCCTGTCTTACTGGATTTTTTTTTACTTTAAATACTTTTGAAGAGATCCCATAGACCATGCCAAGTGAAAATAACACATCTAAAAATGAATTGTAGTTTACAACACTCTCCAGGGAAGCAGGCTATAATTCAAACTACAATATGTTAAGATGGGGCGATATCTCCATAACTAGCAACATCTTGGTGAGATTAAGGTGATGAAACTTTGGACACAGTGTTTCAAAGTGCATTATTAATCATGTTTTATCTGCTTGTTACTTGGCCACTATTACCCTTACGGAATGGACAATAGTGTGGGATAAAGCCCAGCTTCAACAGCGTGATTCATCTCATAAATCATTTCTTATACCTAGTAAACCTCTGACCCTGCGGTAAGAAGTCTTC